TTTAGTGAATGGGGATTAAGTAGGCCAACTTCAATAAGGATTATAAAACCATCATTTACAAATCCATCCCTCCCAAAAAATAAAATATAAAATGTTCCGATAAAAAAAATATATATAATCAAAATAGTGATTCTCTAGACTAATTGCAATTTATAACTGTCATGCCATTTTTATAACCACTTAGGTTGTGACTATAGTTTGATGTTGATCCCGTTATGCAGTCTCCTTATTTTTCTTTGAGAAAAAGTTGTTGCTAAATAGAGAATGAGTTATTCTATAAACATATAGGATTTTCAAGGCATTCCATTGTACTAGTAAATTCAATATGGATGGCATTGGGATATATTGACAACCACTACTTTTGAATGGTAAAAGTTATGTTTGGTGTCATGAAATGCTATTATTCTAAATAATATGTTTGTGGAACACCATGCTGGGATTGTGCATGTTAATATTCCCCAATTAAAAAAAAAAAAAAAAAGAAAAAGAAAAAAAAAGTGTGCTATAATTAGTAGAAGATAACATTGCAAGTCGATGTCATTGGTTAGTAATGTCATATATTTTTTTTCTAATTGTTATTGTGTAAAAGCATGCTCGTGTGGGTGTGTAATAAATAGAAAAAAACGCAACCATCTGTGATACTGAAATTTAACAAACATTCAATGCAAAAGAAATATTATTATTGAATTCAAATATGGAATTACAACAAACAATGTGAAAAATTAAAATTGCAACACAACAACACACAACACACAACACTAGAACTTGGGTTGGATCTAAGGTGGAGGTAATGTCGGCTAGAGATCTAGACCTCAAGGGAGATGGCAAGAGGATTTGCTAGCACGCTGGAAGGTGGCGACAACAAGGGTGAAGGTGGTGGCAACCTGGGCGATGGGTTGAGCAAGGACTGCAGTGGGGGTGATGTCTTGAGTGGCAACAACAAGATTGGATGGGAAAAATAGCAGGTCTGCTATTTTTTGGGCGGTGGAAACAATGGGGGAGCGGTGAGGTTGAAAGGGGTCGATGCAGGAAAGGATTGGGAAGGGCATAGGAAGGACAAACATTACCTGGAGCCTAAAAGCAACCGGAGCATCACTTGGAACCCTAGGCATAAAGGGAAAAGAGACGCTGATGGCTGTCCCAAAATAAATCACAACAAAAATTAAACCCTAAACACCACAAAAACAAATATATAGTCCTAGGATAACTAAGAGTGGGCCCCACTCGAATTGGGTGATAATTCCAAGCCTTCAGTACAGGTGCTTCAGGTGCATACGCCTGTTTCAAGCGTCCTAGGCACAGACGTTCCACATCAATGTGATTCAGATTATAATTTCATAATTTTCTTTTGCTTGACATCTAGAAAAAGGAACCTCATCGCCTATTCATATCTCATATTTGGAGGAAAGGTCAGAACCTCTCCACGAAGGGATCGTTTTCACCTTTAATTGTAGATTTTGAAGTAGTCTAGATAAATAATGCTATACTAGATAACCTTATCTTAATTCTTTTTCCCTTGGTCTCATGTCAAACAAACATTGGTGTAGAAATAATGCATCATCGAAAGTCTGTCTAATGATTGCTGAAAGATTGTTCTTTCTCTTAGAAGTAAACATGAAAGTGATGCAATCTATTACTGTAGTTGAATTGATGTATAAAGTTTGGTATAGTCCAAATATTCTGAATAAAATCACAGTTGAGAAAGAGATGAGAAACATTTTTAAGGTGAAGATTACAAGTGCAACTAGCATTTAAGGGAATTAAATTCCACTTAAATAAGAATGATGTGCTCGAAAGTTTCTCGATCAAAATAGTCAAGCCATAGTAGATAGCTTAACAGGGGAGATAGATTTTTAAATCCATATATAACTATGGGGGGTCTTGATGTCCTTTTTATACTTAATTTCTTTCACATTTATCACATGTTTTTGAATGAAATTGTACTTTAAAGAAAAGTTATTTTCATGTTTATTTTGCAGTTATAAAACTTGGTGTAGATTGGAGCTGAAACGGGGCGAAACAGAGGCAAACATGAGCAAATGGGGGTGTTGCCAATAGGGTGGCTCCTAAATTCTGCCTAGAAAACAGAGAAGACGGCACCTAGGTGCCTCAGACTGGCGCTTAGGCGTCTGAACTGTCCAGAGGCGGTTTCTGCACTCCCCAAAGAGTTATTTGACGGATCTAGACGTTTAGAAAAACACTTTTTGACATTTCTAAGTCCTAAAATTTTCTAGGAAGATCGAGAGGTCATAAATAGGAGTAGGAATCTAGATTTTTACCTTTTTGGGAGAGATTGATGAGGGGATTTTGAGAGATATCTGTAAGAAATTGTATTAGCATTGTATGGATCAGTAAAAGACTTTGTTGGAGGGATTTTCATCTTTTTTTCAGAAGAAAAAAATTAAGTATTGTGTTATTCATTATCTTGTACTTATTGTAAACACTTATCTAGTGAATTTGCTTTGATTTAATGAACCTTTTTGTTGTGTGTGACATCTGCTTTGTTGTGCCTTTTTGTTGTGTGTGACATCTGCTTTGTGAAGTAGAATTCTTGTACTTTTCTTTTGCAATGAATTGGATGAATGTTTAGGATGTTATGATACATGTTAGAATAGGTTTTTCATATCATAGTGATGATTCTTACTTCATGCTTCATTTGCAAATCAATCTGGCAAATTGGTATGTTAAAGTTTGTTGTAAACCCATAAGTTCCAGGAGGGCCATGACTTTAACAACTAGGAGGAACCGCATTGAAATTATGGGTGAAGGAAAAGTAGTCCTAAGATTCAATGCAATGTCATGGAGATATTCATTGATGGGTGCAAATTGATGTTTTTAGGGTGATAGGCTAGATTCCTAAAAAAATTGACCTAGGGTTTCGTACCTTAAATTTAAGATTAAGCCAATTAGAGGGCTATTAGGAGAAGGAGGCTCTAGGGTGACAAGCTAGAAGTTTTGCCGTGATAATTTAATTATTTTAAGAAATCAACCCTATGTTAACTGAGCTACGTTATACATTCAGAAGAGGGTAACTTAGATTTTTGTTCCTATTGTCACTAGACACATAAGATTCTAACATCTCATCCCTACACTTTATCTTGGTGACCACAATAGAAAGATTGTTTTTACACTTCAAAATTCACCAAACCAATTTATCTAGTTAGGTTTAACTTTAGATTTAGGTTTGTATTCAGGAGGAGTACTTAGAAAAACACCCTTAATCGACATTCCAAATTAAGACCTGATAGCAGTAGACTAGAACTTAGTTTAAGGGATTTCTTAGTTTGCTTCCTTGTGGGATCAATAATTGAGACTCCATTAAAGCTTTATATTACTTGAACGATACGTTTATTTGCGTAGAACCCATAGTGTGGAAACTATAAATCAAATTCTAATATCTATAGCATATCTATTTTGCACACTAGCCGCTAAAAAAAAAAAGGGTCAAAATTTTTGTCAGGAAATTAAATAACTGTGTAATTGCAGATCGGACCAAATTTCTGGAAGAACTAACAGTAATAGGATCAAGGAGAGTATAATTGATCAATGACATCTTATAAATTAGTAGGAAAACTGCTATTAAACTCTCAAGCCATGGGTAGGAGCAAATTGAGATGGTACTTCTATATTTGGATTTCAAGCAATCTGGAAATGATCTTTGAAAAATACTTGGATAGATTAAAATTTTAGATGCTATTTTTCTTTGCAAAATCTAGTAAGAGTTGCCACCATTGACTTCCTAAGAGGTATTGAGATAAGCGGTTGTATAGTTTCTTTGATGAAGCTTGAACAATTCAAAGTATTTTTCGATCATAAATTTGTGGGGATCTTGGTCTTGAAGTGTTTCTCCTTGATAGTTCTGCAAGTAAATAAAGAATCGCTCTATTTGACCTTAAGACGAGCACGGCAAGTCCCTCAAAATTCTTAATCTTGTAAATTTTACTCCTTTTGATAATTTGAATTCCTATTCACATCAACATCTTCCAAAGATTCACCTTTTGATAGTCATATTTTCTGATAAGGAACCTAAAATAATAATGATTGTATAGATGGAGAGCAACGATAATAAAGTTGATTAGAGTCGACTTTCCACCCTTAGAAAGGAATCTACTTTTCCAGTTAGAAAGTTTGTTTTGCATGGTTTCAATGACTGGATTTCAAAAGAATTTTGTATGGTTGTGGAGGGAGCCAGGAGTAATATTGGAATACTTGAAAGGAAGGGATTCCACACACAACTTGACCAACGATTTTTCCGTTCTAGATAAGGAAAGATTTTTGAAGTTAATCTTAATACCAGAAGCTTTACCCAAAAAATGAACAATGTGTTTTAAGTAAATAGGTTGCACATCAGCAGCTATACACAATATAAGAGTGTCATTAACAAACTGAATACTATTAATGAACATTAAGTTCTTGTTCAAGCAACACTCATCAATTTATTTATTGAGACCATCAACGCTGAGCATTTTATCTAAAAAGTTAGGCAGAATGTTGAGAAGAAATGATAGGGATTCACTATTGAAAAGAGAAGAATTGGCATGCACAATAACATCGTTAATCCAAAAAATAAATCTCAAAAGAATAAAAAAATTGCGGGCACGAATTGAAAATAGGAAATTTAAAACACAACAACAAAAGTCTTTTCATATTCAATTATAAATATAAATAGCTGTTGTTTTATTTAAGGATAAAGTTCATGAGTAACCACAATATAGTCAATAGTGATTTTGTTGGACATAAAGGCGCCGTGGGACTAGAGAGTCTGCTCATGTAGTAAAGTGTTTTTGAACTTTTATGCATTCTATTAGTGCTAATAAAAAGGTAGTTGTTAATAGGTTGATCAAACGTACTAAAATTTCATAATATTTTTGACTCGTGCCCCATCAAAAATCATTATTTGCATTACTTTGTTTTTTTTTACAAAAGTAAAAGAACTTAGATTTACACAATTAATTTATTTTCATAGCTCAAGTTTACCTTTTACAGCTGAGTTTATAGTCATGGACCTCATGGTTAATATTGAAACCTGAGTTATCTATTTTTATTCATTGTAATATACATAGTACTGCAATTTTAAATGTTTTTTGTTTTGTAGGAAACCACCGATGTAAAACACAAGACTGGCAAACGCTCTAAGTTGGAAAAGGAGCTCCTTGAGTTAACTTTGAAATATCAAAAAGTTATCGCCGAAAGAGATGCAGGCAAGTATACTAATTATCCCTTGAATTATTCTCTATTGTGTATTACGTATGCTGAGGTGTCATGCCATAACTAGTGATTTGGTAGGGAGATGTTTCTTTGACAAAAGAGGTAATATGATTGTTTTTATTATTTTTTAAGTTGAGCTAATTACAGGTGGTCGAATATTTAAAAGTATCAGATTGAATGCATATAGGTCCTTCAGAGCCTTGCATCTCTACTGTGGATTATATGTACTCTCGTAATGGTAAATAACATAAAAGATTTTTGATTGAAAATAAAATTTCTAATAGTTTTCTTGTATGGCATTCTCCATCAATATATTGCATGAGTTATTGTAGAAATGATAGCGGAATTGGTACAAAAATAAAGTGAGGAGAAATACAATATATTAGAATTATTAGCTTAACTAAGGTTGCAATTATTATTGTGCTTTATTTGCTTTTTTTATTTTCAGTTGTTTCCATGTTTATTTATTTTTGAATTTAAATTTTTACTTTATGTGGGTTTTTGTAACGTGTATTTATGTACCTTTTTCTTATCAATGAAAGTATAAATCTCTATTTATAAAAGTTAACTTGGTACTAGAGCCATAATTCAAAACTTTAGAGCTGCTTGTGGGCTTTGAAAATTCACGATCGCTTCCCGGGAAACTTTTTGCATTTATTTTAATTTTTGTTCTGAGAGATAGAGCTTTGGAGAATCAAATATTCAGAAGACAGATTAGATTGTAGGTAAGACATTACCCAGAGATTTCGTCCTCATTTTTGTGAGGACTTTTTGATTCGGGTTCGAGGTTTCTCATAGGGTGCATACCCCTATAGTTAATTACCCTCCTTATAACGAGAGAACACTTTCGATTAAGACTAGTCATTAAGAGTTGAGTATTAGACATACAATAACAACACTTAGGATTTTAAATTATAAAATTCATCACTTGCAGCTTAAAGTAGATGGTGGGTGAATGAAGGCGAAACTCGATCAAGATCTCATGGCTCCATCATCTTGAGTCGTCGTGGTAACTGATCTACTTAGTCAGAGGAGGTGGTCGGCCAAACCTGATAGAAGTATCCTGGGTTGCGTCGTCCAAGAGATTATTGTAGATCTACGTTGAATATTTTTCTAAGGGGACAAATTTAAATCGACCTTAGCTAACAAAAGGTCTTATGCTAATCAATTGCACCCTTATGATTCACAACTCAAAGGGTAGAAGCCATTGGGGAACATACGGGTTGTGGTCGTGATCGTAGTATAATGGTGTCATTTGACGGCAATCATCCAGTCATAGGGCATTGGTCGTAACTGCTACTTCGTGGTGTCAATTTTACGACTAAGCCACACAGACAGAGGATGTAGGCTACGTTTTTACTGACATACAATTGCTTTGATTGTGAATATATTGATGTATTTGATATGACATTCACTCTTTATTAGCTGAAGTCAATAAAAAGTTTGTCACCCTAGACAAACTGTTGCGGAGAATATAATTTACTTTAACTTTTAGGCGATTAAATCTTAGCTTAAATATTTGGTCAGTTATTTTAACTTTGAAATTAACAAGATTTTTATTAGTAAACATCGACAGATGTAATTGTTTTAAATATTAAAAACTTGGATGACCCAAATGATAATGAAATTGTATAATAGGAAATTCAGTGGATCTAGAAAAACTGCAACCATTGGTAGAAGTGTCCTCATTCTCTGTGTCTTTCTCTTGGAAGAAGTAGAGTCCAACTACTGTTTTAGCAGTTTCAATCTTTCCCGAACAAAGATCCTGAAAGGCACAAATTTAAGGTGAAAATTTTGCAACGCAATCTATGTCGGGTGTCGGCCTACTAACAGATAACGGGTTACTCTTCAACAGAGGGATGTGTAACAAAGATTCCAGAGTTAGACCGGTTGTTAACACAATCGAGCTTTTACCAAGAATAGAGTTAGTAGAGCCCAACTACTCTTTTAGCAGTTTCAATCATCCTCAAATAAAGATCCTGAAATGTAAAAACTTCAGGAGAAAATTTAGCAACGCAATCTATGTGATGTGCTAGCTTACTAACAGATAACGAGTTACACTTCAACAGAGGGACATGTAACAAAGATTCCGGAGTTAGACCGGTTGTTAACACAACCGATCTTTTACCAACAATAGAGTTATAGAAGCCATAAACAATTTTAACTTTATCTTTCCCAGAGTATGGATAATATGTTGATAAAGCTTGAGAGCATCCGGTCATGTGGTCTGTGACACCTGAATCAATGATCCATGTACTAGAAAAAAAAGTGAAACCACAAGACTGATACCTTCACGGACGTGGGTGGTTGGCGGGCCGGAAGTGAACTGATTGGATTCGAGCAGTTTGATTAATTGCTTCATCTGACTCGTAAGAGAGTTGGGTGATTCTAGAGTGTTCCGAGTGGGAGCTAGTTGTACAGTAGTAGATTCAGATGTCATAGTGAGACCCTTGATAGAGGAGGATTTGACTGAAATTTGTATGCCGGTTCCCATGTAGTTTCTAACGTTTTTCTTGAGTATGGTTAAGTGTGTGATAATAATCAGAAGTGGACTCGGTGGCTCAAGGAGGATTTTACAAGTGTTGAACACTATTAGTAACCAAGACAAATGATTCGACTGAAGTGGAAGTGTTGAGCATGACCATTCTTCGGCTTTCTTTGTGTTGAATTTCTGTGAAAGCAGCATGAGTAGAAGGAAGGGGATCCCGACTAAGGATACACTCTTAGATTAAGTTCTTTGTTAAGTCCGACCAAAAATTGAAACATTCGATCTTTTTCTACAATTTTCTGAAAGAGGGAAATATCTGTCAGAAATTTCCACGTGTAATCATAGTATAGATCGCATTTCATCAATAAGGCCACCAAATCATTGTAGTAATGGGTCACTGTTCTCGATTCCTGTTTTGTCTTGTGGATTTTCTTGGAAACCTCATAAAGTTGGCTGGAGTTCCCTACATATGTGTAGGTATCCCAAACTGCAGTCCAGAGGGCACTGACAAAAAGGAGAAACATATATGAACTTTCAATCGCAGTCTCTGTGTAGTTTATCTGCCACGACATGGCCATGAAAATTTTCACTTCCCACGTTTCATATTCCAGTCAGTTTTAGGAGGTTCACTAATCATCCCCGCGTTCTCTTGACGAAAAAAGACACAACTTGAGACCATTGGAGAAAATTTGATCCGTTCAGTTTACGGGTGGTGATTAGGAAGTTTATATGGTTTTCTGATTCTCTGTTTTGTGGAGGGATTGACATCGATGTTGACTCTCCGGTGGATGCAAGTATACCATCGGGAGAAGGCTCGGGGTGGTAGAGTTTGCCATGATTCCAACTGAGCTAAAAGTGATGTTGGGTTTCCGAGACAGACAAATTATGGAAGCTGGAGAAGGGAAGAACTGGTGGCTACAAGGGTCCCTAGGAAGTGGAGGAAAATCCGTGGACGATGGGGATTTCAGATGGCTTGAAGCAGCTGCCTGCAAGCCAGGCAACAACTCTAAGATCTGGCGGTTGGTGGCCCGTAGGGAGGTTGGTGGTGAGGGCAGGGAGGCTGGCGCTAAGATCTGGCAGCAGGAAGAACATAAACAGGGAGAACCTGTAAGGATTGGCGGCAGAAATCTTGCAGGGAGGAATCCTGCAGGTGGTCGGCAACTAGCTGTAGAGCTCTGATACCATGTCAGATTGAATAGAGCTAGGTGCTTTCATTGATAGGAAAAGAGGTATAAATACATATTACAAGTCTCAAATAAAAGGAAAAACATTTATTCAGAAATAGATTGACTAGAAAATACATAAATATAGAAACGGAACATAAAGGATGCAAATAAAAGCTATTAATAAGTTCGGTAGTAATTAGGCTAATAATTCTAATATTTTTCATTTTATAAAGTTTTTAATTGAGGTTGCATTAAGAATATATCTGCCTATTATTGTATATTGAGGGAGCTATGCATTCGGGTTTGTTTTGCCAATTTATCTTGCTGATAAGCTGTAAATTATGCTGATGATTCTGTTGCTTTTATATGTTGCTCAAATTTATTTCATTTCATTATCTTTTGAATGAATCTTTTGCCCCCGCTTCATGTCTGTTTTTGTTCTGTGCAATAGAACTTAAGGTATTTCGTTATTCTATTATCAGCTTGCGCATTGTTATTGAGCTGCTGCAGGATTTTGTGGTTCTTTTGGTTGTTCTCACTTAGGTGCTACTAAATTTTGCTTTTGTACATTTATACCTCTCAAATTTTTTATATCACATTTTAAAATACCATCATTTTAACTTTTATTACTGAAATACACCTTTTCATGCTTAGGTATGGGGATATGTATGTAAAAAATGAAGTTGAGATGTTAGATATGTAAGATGTTAGATATGTAAATATTATAAGAATTGAGTGGGATGTATGTAAATCTTCCTAAAATCAAATGATTCATTGGAGGAAGATATTTTGTCTATGGTTATTGCTTGAATGAATCTCGTTTTTTCAAGCATCCTGCAACATTTAGGCTCTACTGAAGGAGAGGAATAAATCTTTGAGTTATCTTAAGTTGCCCTCTGTGTTTTTTCTCATTAGGATCTAAATTTTGCCTAGTATTGTTGCTTAATGGTGTGCGCTTAAGTATTCCCTCGCAGGTTTTCTTGCAAGCCATTTTTTCCTTTTAATAGTTGCTTTAAAATAAGATATTTATTATATAATCTTTTCAAAAAATTACAATTCCTAATTTTTTTTTGTTTGCTTGCATTTTGAAGCTGTTGCGGTGCGGGATAGACTAGAGTCACTTTGTAGAGAGCTACAACGTCAGAATAAAATGTTAATGGTAAAATTCTGTCAATTTAATTAGTTGTTTTGGTTATGTATTTTCTTTTTACCAATTCTTATGTACTTACATATAACACCTAAATTTTACTTTTTATGCTTATACCACAAAAAAAATTTCAAGCACATAAAAAAATGCCACTATTTTAACTTTTAAAATGTGAACAAAGTGAAGTGGAATACATGTAAAAATTGAAGGTTAGGTGTTAGATATGCAAATACATAAGAATGGAGTGGTATGCATGTAAATCTTCCTTATATATTTTAGCTAGCCTTTTTAGATGAAGTTGCGCGTGCTTTAATTTTAGCATGCCCAAGTTGCTTTGTTATCGATAATTTTGAGAAACCCACCAGTTTAGTAGCCATAAGAAAATTGGACCTTTTTATCTTTTCAGTCAAGTAGGTGGTTTAACTGCTGGAATATCCTTAATTTTTTTGTGTTCTACCAAATCATTGAACGCAGGATGTGTTGTCTCCCATAATTTTCCTATATTAAAGCCAGAGAACATGCTAATTATTATCCTCATTTGCTTGGCATGAACCATTTATGAGAATTTTGTGTTGTTCGTGTTATTTAAATGGCACAGAATAGCAAGGGGGCTGCTCTGCATGGTATCAATATTGTTTTATTTTTATTTTCTAACATTCTTTTTTATAGTGTTTGATAGTTATTTTTATTTTGTTTTTAAAAAAAATATCAAAAACACATTTTTAGCGTTCTGAGTATTTTTGAAACAACTGGCTCTATAGCCACCAACCTAATTCTGCCATCCAATTCTACTGCCATTAACTTTTTCAATGCTCCGTAAAAATAAAAATAATTTATATTAAAAAAAAACAATATAAAAAATACTGAATTTTTTTTTGCTTTATTTAAAGATATAAAAAAAAATTAAAAAAAAATTTAAAAATAAAAGATTGAAATTATTCCAAATGGGCCCTAAACTTTTGCCCTTTTTTCTGTTGATGAATTTAAAGTTGACATTAAATTTTGAAGTTTGCACTTTGCACATTGATTTTTTATTTTTTTTTTTATAATTCAAATTGATGGTTATGCTTTCAATTATTTCCTGATGGAGGTAATTTCTTGAACAACTGCCACAAGCCTTTATCCCACTAAGTGGGTTCGGCTACATGAATCCTGTTTCTCCATTTCGTCCTATTGAGGGTATTGTTTTCATTTAATCCTAATAAATCAAGATCATTTTTTATACATATTGTTGATCTCATTTTCAGTGAGGTCTTAGTCTTCTGCTATTAGAACCCAGGATCTAGCTTTAAGAGTTTCTTATTGACCATCATTGCAAACTAGTAATGGAGCCCACCTCCCATAGAACTTCGAGCTACTTCTTGACTCATTTTTGTGCAGACTTCGCATGAGTAGTCCCAAGCACTCAACTCTTAGTTGCAAAGGCTGAGGACTAACATGTAGAGGGCCCTAAAATGAGTTCCTATAGGATCAAACACTCATAGGTGAACCCTTCATGACTCAAACACTCGCGAACGCTGCAATTTATGCATTCACTACACCACGCGTGATGTTGAGTTGAATTGACCCGATAGTTGGCGAACTTGTCTGAACGATCTCGAATGACAAAACAGACCACACTGATGCATCCGGGACGTCGACTTTAGCTAGAAATGATACTTAAATTGCTATGGTTCCGCGTGCCAGCATTTAACACGGAAATCGATGCACATTTTTTTTAATTAGCTGGGCCCAGACCCGGCTAAACTCAGGTTTAACTCGGATTCGATTCGGGCTAGACTCGGACCGAACAAGAGTTGAACAATTTTGAATTTTAAATTTTTGAATTGCAAATGAGTCATTTAATTTCACACTAATTAAATTCATTTGGAATTTATTACCAGCCAAATAAAACTCTTCTGCCTATGGAAACTATTCAATTCTCGCCCAACGCAATGCTCCACGTGCAATCATTTAACATGAAAATCGATGCACATTTTTTTAATTAGCGGGGCTCGGGCCCGGGCTTAACCCATGTTTAACTCAGATTCGATTCGGGCTAGACTCGGGCCGAACAAGTGTTAAACAATTTTGAATTTTAAAATTTCAAATTTCAAATGAGTCATTTAATTTCACACTAATTAAATTCATTTGGAATTTATTACCAGTCAAATAAAACTCTTCTGCCTATGAAAACTATCCCCGCCCAACACAAGCTTAACGACTATTTGGAATTCGAGGGATACAAATCCCGCTCGGGCTTCGCCTTCGTCCCATTCGGCTCTCCCGCTTCCTCTGCTCGATCCCGACTCCTCTCTGCAATCTGAGCTTCTTCTCCTGCTCGCCTATTTCTTTCTCGTGCATGACCGAGGGCTTCGCCTTCCTCCTCTCACTCGACCGAAGACCCCCACTCGCCTGCTCCTCCCTCTCGCGCTCGACCGAAGGCCCCCGCTCCTCTTCTGTGAACCGAAATCCTCACCTCCGCCTCTTCTCTTCCTTTGCTCGACACCGCTCGATGCTCTCACCTTCTCCTTCGACTCCTCTTTGTGAACTACAACCCTCGCCTCCCCTCTGCGCCGAAGCCCTTGCCTACCTCCTCGCTCGACTCCCGTACCAAGGCGCGACACTCCTCTCTCCACTCCACACCTGAAGCTCTAGAGCCTCTCTCTCTCTCGATTCTCCCACTCGCAAACCCTAACAACTCTCAACTTAAGCACCAGCGTTCGGCTTCCTCACACAAGTGAAGACCCCAATTTGTGTTCTTTTTTTCTGATCTTTTGAGCCATGAGCAGAGCTTCTCCTCTTTCTGCTATCCAAGCCGCAATATTCAGAAGGCCCCTTCTCCATCTTAAACAAAACAATTCAAAGCTGATTTCCATTTCCAGCCACCTCAAAACAGGTTTCAATGGTTTCTTTTGCTTCTTTTGTTCCCTGCAACACTGTTAATCGATTTTATTATTCATGGTAATTATTCTAAGATGCTTGTGATCAGCTCATAACCTTCATTTACTTTGTAATTATTGACATGCATATAAAAGTGATCAGATGTTCACTTGGAGAAACTAGAGGATTAAGTTGATTTTGCAGAAGGTGCTTAAATCTGGATCATAATTTGCTGTGATGATTTCTCCTTAAAATATTGGGAAATTTACATAGATGCTACACAATTCATATGTATTTACTTATCCAACACCTAAACTTCAATTCTTACACAATTCATATGCATGAAATGGAGTTATTTCCTGTGGTATGAAAACCTGGTGGTATATATGCATGTGAACGCTTTCTTGGAGGAAATTGAGGGTGGTATTTCTAATGGGATGTTAAGGTGGATTGGTGTTTGTAATTGCTGTTTTTGCTCCCTATATTTGCCAATTTAGGGAATGTTTAAGAGTTGCTTTTGGTCACATATGCTTACTGTTCAAAGCTGATTACTTATTTCTTAGGGCTGCGCTTGTTCAATATTGCCACTGTTTGGAGTACTGTAAATTACTGTTTTAGAGAGGGATTTGGGACTTTTAAGTTGTCGTTTCGGGACTTTTTTGAAAATGTTTCTTTGTTGTTTGGTGTCTTTAAGAGGGCTGGAAAGTGCTGAAAAATACTTGAATGTGAAAGCTGTGGGAGAGCTGTACGGTGCTGTTTGGAACTTCGGAATTATTGTTTGGAGTCATTGGGAACTGTAGAAGTGTTGATTGGAAGTTGGTCTTTGCTTTAATTGTCTGTTTGGAAACTACTAATCACTGTAGAAGTGTTGTTCGAGGTTTAGAATTGCTGTGAGAACTGTTTAGAAGCTGTCCTTTGCTGTAAATGGCTGTTTGGAAGCTGTCCATTACTAAAAGTGGCTGTTTGGAAGCTGTTAATCACTGTGGAGGTGTTGTCCATTGTCGTTTATGTGTTGGGAGAGTTGTAGGAGAGTTGTAGGGTGTCGTTTAGGATTGCTGTCCGCAGTTCCTAGATTTTGTCCGAAGTCGTAGGATCACCGTACACGCTTCCTAGTTGCTGCCCGGAGCTGTAGGAGGTTGTAGGATCACCGTACAAGCTTGCTAGTTGTTGTCCGGAGTTGTAGGGAGCCTTAGGATCACCTGTTTGGAATTCCTAGTTGCTGTTACGACTTGTTCTGCTGCTTACTATTTTATTCTCTTTTTTGCAATTCATTAAATTCGCTGCAAATTATATCATGTTTTGTGAGCTAAACATGCAGCAGCAGATACGCTAGGTACGCAAGTACATTTTTTTTTAATTTTATCAATGCAATTTACTCTTGTTCTAACATATCATGCAAACACTGATTATGATTTTATTTTCAAAACAAAATAAAATTTAAAAAATTAAACAACATTTTTATAATAAAACGAAAAAAATAGAACACGTATTTTTGAATTTACGGTAGTCCCTCGGATGAGGTAACCTACGGTTGCTAACGAGATCTTCTCAGTTTAAATGAGCCCCACAACTCATTTAGACAAAGTAAATTCAAAAGAAAATAGTGGTACCAGAACTAGGGAATCGTGAGATTTTAACCGGTGTCGCTCTAATCAACTTTAACCCCCCCATAATGCTTGAATGACAACAAAATCAAAACCTTGAAACACACCTGGTAAAACCTTTTGAACTTTAAGTTTTAAGACTGCTACTTCGACGAGGAGCTTGGAGCGAGCTTTGTGGGTAGCACGACAAAGAGCTTGGATCGAGTAACAAGAGGATATTCTTCAACAATCTTTCTCTTTAGTCTAAATAACAACACATAGGATTTAGAGGTAGCTCGCCCAACGCGACGTAAAACCTCACTTTCTTTAGGCTCATGTACAATCATATTGTGCAGCGTAAGTCCTAACTCGTCTTAGATTTCAAGATTATCGTGTGACACAACGTAAACCCTCTTATCTCTGCGAGCTATTTGCATAATCAGTTATTATGCAAGGTTCAGTCTCAAATAATAAAATTGGTAGGATTAAACACTAGAATAATATCATCTCAAAAATACAGTCACACAGTAGGATAGTTTGGGAAGTCACCGAGAGTTCTCCTCAGGATCTGTGACATCCCCTACTCTTTTCCTTCTTTTGAACATCTGAAAATAATTTTTCCTATTTGAGTCACTCTCACTTGTTTTTCCACATCCTACCATGAAAACCTAAACTTTGAATTTTTGAAGACTAGTATCTATGACATCATCGAGAGTTTTCTCAAGTGACCCCAATTATTTTGGATGCAATTAACTATAGGGGCTTGTCTCTAGAGAGAACTTGGAACCCAAATAAAATAAACTCTATTTAATTTTTTATTAGATAGGAGAACTTGTCGGTAATATATAAAAGGTTCTCAGACCAAACAGATGTCACAAATCTCTTATTTTATAAGATTGGGCCTATCGTCGAGGTATACACTTATCTTTCGGGAGGGTGTAATATTCGCGGTATTGGACACGATTATGTAAACTATTGGACGAATGAGATCCATTTGGTCTTATTTTTTCAAAAATTAAAACACACTACTTTTAAAACCAAAAATATATACCTCTTATATTTAAATTAAATTTAAAAAACTATTTTTCAAAATCAAATTGAAAAGTTGACCGACACATATGCCCAAGTCTTTCTAGGTCTACCTCTGCCTTTCTTAACATAAGTCGAATATGAAACATCTAATTGCCTAACCGGATCATTAGATGATCGACGTTGAATGTGACCAAACCATCTAAGATGACTCTCTCTAATTATATCCACCATTGAAGTTGCACTAACTCTATCACAAATATATTCATTTCACATTTTGTCTTTTAAGTGTCAAGTCACTCATTCACCTAAGCATTCTCACCTCGGCAACACTTAACTTTGTTTTATGCTACTCTTTTAATGGCCAACATTCTGCGCCATAGAGCATTGCAGATCTCACCAAATTAAGATTATTTTTTAATGTCTAGATCAAATAAAATTAGAAACTTCTCATATACATTGTATTTTTCACTGTTGGGAGCTTTTTTGGAGGTTAAGAATTTTTTCACTGCTTTTTTCCCATTTCTTAATCTATTTACATTATATTTTATTGGGTACTGATATGAAAATTTACCAGGAAGAGTGCCAACGGGTATCAGCAGAAGGACAAAATATGAGATTGGATTTGTCTAAGAAATTTAATGATGCAATTAAGGTATGCAAGAGGATTTTGTTTATTATGCTTTTCCAAAATAGATATATTGTTATAATTTAAAATTAGTCAACTTATGCAGAATATCAACATATAGTCATTTTTTAAACATGCTATTGGTAAAATAGAGGCAAGATGCTATTGGGCATTTTGTATCATCATAATGTTATGATTGACAACCAGCTTTCAACCCAACTTTTTTCCTACTCTGCATATTTTTTTGCTAAGAATGCTGTTTTAGTTTTGTTCATTTATGGTTTAATCTTTCTTTGATTTTACTTCTCTACCTCTAGCAATTAATAACATATCAGATTCGTGTTTAATCATGATTAGGATGTGAACGGTAAACTTGAAGAGCAGAAACATGACTGCCTTTCGCAATTGAAAGAGAATGAGATGTAAGTGTCTTCTCAATTGTACTGTCTTTGACTGCATCATTTTTTAATAAGATCATGAACCCATTCTCTACTTCAGGTAAATATGTAAAGGTTTTTCTTTTGGGACCTCTCGACTGTCTGTAAATGATTTCCTTACACGGATGCATTTGATTGAAGGCTTGATTAAAAGATTTGATGATACAAGATTTATTTTCGCTATTTACTTTACAGTAATGATTTTAAAAATATGAGCTTTACTGCTTGAGGCAGTATTCGGTGAGGTTCTGCAAATATGAAATTTGAAAAGAAATTTCTATTTGAGTAATGTAAAAAATAACGTGTTACTATTCTACAGAGTTCTTAGAATATAAATAGCCCTACAGAACATCCAATTTTAGTCAGAAATATTTGTGAAGTTTATTCAAATTTCTTAGTGAGCATTGGGATAGATTGTTTTGTTGTTGTGATACTGGAGTTAACCTAAATCACAATAGAAAATGTAAATATTATTGTTGAAAGAAAATAGGAGGTTATTACCAACACACTTGAAAGGGGAAATACAACAACAGACACAAACAAACACAACTAGAGTGAATCCCAAGGATGGTGGTGATGGTTGGCGAGGGTTTAGAATGTGGTGCAGAGGTGGAAAGGGCGGTTGGCAAACAAAAAACAGCAAGGCGGCTGTTTTCCTAGTGCCATCCAAAAAACAAACATCAATGAGTGATGTGGGAGGGCCGTCTGGGGTGATGGCAGCTCGGATGGATGGCTGAAATGGATGCGTTAGCAAAGATGAGGGGCTGGACAGCCACGTGACAGCTAGAAAGGGCGGTATTGTGTTGCGGCAGCACAGGAGGACAGCTGCAGTGAAGGGGAGTTGCGGCAATGGAAGCAAGCTGGAATGAGGGAAAAAGCTGGTCGGACGGAACAATGGAAAACAGCCGGGAACATTTGTTTGGGTGGCGGTAGTGAGCGGGAATAACGACATCAGCGGTGGGGAATGCGTGGGACTGTGGGACAACAAATTGGTGGGTTGTCCTGAAGCTGTGGTAGTGAGGGGGGTTGGTTGGATCATGAAGACCGGAGGTTGGAATGAGTTGCAGCAAGGTGGGACGTGGCTGGAAATGATGGTAGGAGGTGGTGGCCGGCGGTTGGGGTTGCAGGAAGACAAAATGAGTGATGTCTAGTGGTTTTGGTGGTGAGGAAAGGCGGCGGTGGCAACGTCGAAGGGAGAGTTGTGTAGGATGGGAAATCCAGGATAAATATATTTGTGGGATCGAATTACAATCAGAGCACCATTCAATCCTTGGGAGACCGTCACCATCTCAGATGAGTTTTAGCCGATACACCTTCTCGCTTCGGATACAATCCTAGAGGGGGCAACGGAAGCCGACGACTGTCCTGACAGATATACAAGCAATAACTAACCATAGACTGTCCAAAACAAAAATATATAATAATAGGATAAGTAGATGGGGGCCCCTTACTTAAATTAGGTGGTACTCTCATAGGCAGAGCCGACTGGCTCTCACAGATGTTGTATCGAACCGGTTCGGGCTGCTGACGGGCATCAGATGCGCATTCCCGCTTCAATTGCTCACTCCCGCATCCATCTCCCGCTCCCGCATTGGCCTACCTCTCTCGCATTTGAGCTATCATGCATCCTGCGTCGTTAGACAATTCCACATCTGTCTTCCATGGTTAGGAGAGCTCCGACGTCATTCATCGAAGCTTCTGTCTCCTCATAATGGTCAGGTCAGCATCGTTGAAGGTAGCAGAAATGACATAATATCATGACAAGTAGATTATGTAGGAACCAATATTTCATAACACGTACTGATAGAATAAATATGCATTTTCTTTTGGCACAATCTGAGTTGGAGTTGTATATAGATGTAGATTTTCACAATATAAATTTTGAACATTTAAATCTGAAACTGTCTTCTTCTGCTTCTCATACTCAGTGGAATGTAGTTTATAACCATGTTTGTCAAGAGGAATCAACTTTAGAACGATATCTAGGGCATGTTGGGTCACACTAAAGCGTAACCACTCAGGAAATAACTCTTTTTCATAAAAAAAGACTTGAATCTCACTGTAGTTTGTTCTATCCTTCAAAAATCCCGAGGCAATTTTCAACTTTGTGGTTCATCCATTCTGTCTGATCAACTTCTGTTGGGGACACTGCTGAACTGAGTTTAATACCCAAATTACTCTCTATTGTCTTCCAGAAGTAGCTCAAAATATTCTCATCTTTGATATTTAAGGCCTTCCTCAGTAGGGGCAACCCATGAGATAGGTTATGTATCTGAAAATTCGAACATCCTTTTATCTGAAGCTCTATGTCTAGAATCAGCTCTTGAATCTCATATCACTCTTTTGGACATTCAATGCTAGTTTTGTTGATTTTGCTCTTAACCCCTACAAAATGGTCATTCGAGGCAACATCATCTCATACTCTACAGGAAATTCTATTACCTTTTACTATCTTTTTGAACATCCTCTACAAAATGGTCGTTCGAGGCAACATAGTGACTTTTTTTTTGTCTTTAAATTGAGGTTCATCTTTGACATCTTCATCCTTTCCGGTGTTACTCTCTATTTCTTCAACTGCTCTTTGATCAATGATATAATTTATTCTCCTGGTTGTGTAATCTGATTTAATATGCTCAAATCTGTGACACTTGAAACACTTCCAGTGGAATGGATTTGGGAATGTGGATTGGTTCCATCTTTTCTCTTCTTTGAATCAATTTCTTCTCAGGCAGGGTCAGCTGAGATGTTCGTTTGGGTGTACTCTGGTTGTAAGATCATGTGGTTGAACCCTGCCTATGAGATGTGGTGGTCTTCCAATAATGTGGTCTCTCAAAGAACCTCTAGAATATGACTAGGTTTTTGAAGCCGCGTTCTAAACATCAGCTCTATAGCGAGCTAGTAGGTGCTTCCGCTGCATCTCCTGTTTCATCTGGGTTCAAGTAGTGATATTATCTTATCTCTCACATTGACATAGGTGCTTCAAGTTTTTCCACCAAAACAATGCACTTTTATTTGATTTGTTGGCGGCTAGTTTCACCATTTCGTCATTTGGTATATCCTGGTACTCAAAGAGAAGATCCAAAATCTGAAGTCACTGATGAACTCGTTCGGATCTAAGTGACCGTCCTAATATGGCAAATTTATTGTTACCTTAAAATCACAGCTTCTCAAATATTTCAGGTCAATTCTTCGGGGTAGAGGCTCTTCACCTCTTAAATCTCTAACAACTATTGCAGCTCTATATTGTATAACAAACACTTCATCTCTGTAATTGAATTGTGTTCAGGTGACCCCACTGAATGGTTTTCTTTTCTCAATTTTATCGAGCCATTGTAGCACTTGATGGAGTTTTCGATGTATATCTTCCATGGTGAACTCCTGATTGTTAAGTGGAGACTGATCCTGAAAAATAAAAAGGAGGCAAACAACCACTCTCGCCTTCCTTCCTCATCCCATGAAGCGAAGCATCGCTTTGCCATTTTTTTCTGCGATTCACAAATAAGGATCCCGCGAGTGTGCTTTCGTGAATTAGGCTTCTCCCTTCAATTGCATCTCCTTCTCTTGCGATAGAAAAGGGGCATTGTGAGTTTTGCTGGATTGCAAGGCTGCGGCTGGAATTTAAAATGCAAAGTTCTCTGCTCCTTGTTCTGACTTATTCGGCGTGAGGTTTATACATTTAGTCGACAGAAGGATCAAAAGGCTGCTCCTAGTTTCTCTTCTTTTCGGTGGTGGCTCTCTGGTAGAGAGAGAAGGAGAAGAGAGAGTGAAGAAGTGAGACTTTCTCTTGAAATCGTCGAGGCGATTGACGGTATAAATTCCTCAAGTAATAAAATCTTCTGCAACACCGTGGACGTAGACAATTTGCTGAATCACGTAAATATGTGTGTTTCGCTGTATTTTCTTATTTTGCAAATTTCTCGTTATATTTTTCGCTTCGTCGTTGATCGTTCTATTTTATATATATACCACAACAACTGATATCAAAGTCTCGTGCTTTCGGATCTGAAGAAAAATGATGATTTCAGGGGTCGAGAAATTTAATGGCACAGATTTTGGTTACTGGATGATGCATATAGAGGACTACCTTTATGAGAAGAAATTTCATCTTTTGTTATTAGGGAAAAGACCGAAAATGATGGATGAGATTAAATGGAATCTGTTGGATCGACTAGTTTTTTGGGATATTCAGTTGACTCTGTTGAGGTCCGTTGCACACGTCGTCAAGGAAATGACTACTGCAGATCTCATGACTGCTCTGTCAGATATGTATGAGAAGCCATCGGCGAATAACAAGATATATCTGATGAATAAGTTTATCAATCTGAAGATGACGGAAGGTACGTCTGTTGTACAACACCTAAATGATTTCAATACTATCACAAATCAATTATCATCGGTGGAAATTGAATTTGATGATGAGATATGTGCACTGATATTGTTTACTTCATTGTCAAATAGTTGAGAAACTATGAGGATGACTGTCAGTAATTTGCATGTAAATTTAAATTGAAATATAATGATATTCATGATTTGATTTTGGTTGAAGAGAGATGCATGAAAAATTCTGGCGAGACCTCAGGTTTTGAGTTCAACATTAAATATTGATTCTAGAGGGAGATCACAGGATATGAACTCAAATAGAGAAAGATCAAAATCAAAACACAGAGGCAGGAGCAAGTCAAGGTCTGATAAACAAATAATTTGCTGGAATTGTGGCAAAACTGATCACATAAAGATGAACTACAGAAATCCCAAGAAGACGGAATGATAACACAAATGTGGTAATTAAAGAAGCACGTGATGCACTACTACTGACAGTTCATAGTTCTGTTGATGACTATATACTGGATTTAGAGACATCCTTTCATACAACTTTCCATCGAAAATTGATGTGTAATTATGTTGCAAGTGACTTTGAAAAAGTATATCTGATAGATGGAGAAGCTTTGAACGTGGTAGGAATTAGCGACATTGACATTGCACTTCCAAACAAGAGCAACTGGACTATGCAAAAGATCAGACATATTCATGAACTGAAGAAGAACCTCATTTATGTTGGGCAGCTCGATGAGTGTAAGCATTCAGTAATATTCTCAGATAGTACATGAGTTCTCAGATGGCACCTGGAAGGTTACTAAAGGAGCACTAGTACTGGCTCGGGGTAAGAAAACAAGTACGCTATATACTGGTTTAATTAACAGTGTTGATACTACTGTTTCACAGAGCACAACAGAGTTGTGGCATTACATGCTTGGTCACATGAGTCAGAGATGTGTGAAAGAACTTTAGTCCAGAGACAAGCTACCATAACTGAAGTCAGTTGATCTTAGCATGTGTGAGAGTTGTATTAAGGGGAAACAAAGAAAGGTTGGTTTCTTGAAAAGTGACAGGATGCTAAAGGCGGGAAAACTGGATCTCGTACACACAGATGTGTGCGAACCTTCTTCAGTGACATCTCTTAGAGGCTCTTGTTACTACGTCACATTCATTCATGATTATAGCAGAAAGATATGTGTTTATTTCTTGAAGTATAAATCTGATGTATTTAATGTGTTTAAGACTTGGGAAGCCATGATTAAGACAGAGAAATGGTTAAAGCTGAAATTTCGAAAGTCTGATAATGGTGGTGAGTACATTGATGATGGGTTCAATGAGTATTGTGCAACTTAGGGCATCAGAATAGAGAAGACCATTCCACAACAAAATTATGCTGCAAAGTGCATGAACAGGACCATTAATGAGCGGGCTAGAAACAAGAGATTGCACGCCTACTTTCTAGGTATAAACAGTTAGCACTGCAATTTACTTGATCAATAAAGAGTCATTTTTTTCATTAAACTGTGAATTTCCAGAGAAAGTCTGGAGTGGGAAAAAAGTCAAATTTTTTCACCTTAAAACTTTTGGATGTCTTTTTTATGTTCTCATATGTCTTGATGCTCGTTGTAAGCTTGAGGTTAAATCAAAGAAATGTTACTTAATTGGTTATGGAGACGAGACATTTAGGTATCGTTTTTGGGATAATTAGGATCATAAGATCATAAGAAACATGAACGTGTTTTTCAATAAGAAAGTTATGTACAAATTCAAGGCCAGTACGGTTTCTGAAACAACAATGCAAGAATCTGAATTGATAAGGTTTGATGATTTACCGAGGTCACAATGCAGGGCAGAGATGCAGGTGGCGAGGTGTGGGGGTCCACGACACCCCTATTATTCCACAGTCAGTTCAAAATCAGTTACCCCTACAACTACAGTTCCCAGGTCAGAAAAGACTAGACTTTTTCCACAAGATTATTCTTCAACTTTAAACTACATTCTGCTGACAGATGGTGGAGAATCTTAGAGTTATGAAGAAATTTTGCAAGATGAAAATTCGAGCAAGTGGGAGCTTGTCATGAAGGAGGAGATGGATTCTTTGTTAGAAAATCAGACTTGTGAGTTGACAGAACTTTCACTAGAGAAGAAGACATTACACAACAAGTGGCTGTACCAGGTGAAAATTGAGCATGATGACAATAAGAGGTACAATGCTAGACTTGTTGTAAAATACTTTTAGTAGAAGCATGGTATTGATTATTCCGAGACTTTCTCTCATGTGGTGAAGCTCACAACCATAAGAGTGGTATTATCTGTGGTGGCTACTGAAAATCTCTTTCTTGAGCAGTGAGATGTGAAGACAGTTTCTCTTCATGGAAACATTGAAGAAAACATCTACATGCACCAACCTGAAGGGTTGCGGTACAGGGAAATGAAGATTCAATTTACAAACTTAAGAAGAGCTTGTTTGACCTAAAGCAAGCTCCTAGACAGTGATACAAGAAATTTGATAATTTCATGCACAGTGCAAGGTACAACAGATATCAGACAGATCATTGTTGTTATATCAGGCATTTGATAATTCTTATATCATCCTACTATTGTATGTGAATGATATGCTTATTGTAGGAGGTAATATTGATGAGATCAATAATTTGAAGGAGCATATATCATAACACTTTGCAATGAAGGATTTGGGAACTAAAAAACAATTCTTTGATATGATAATTATCATAAATAGAGTCAGAGGCATGTTGAGACTCTCGGGCTGAGTATGTGAAAAAGGTACATAACATGTTCAATATGGATAACACCAAATCAGTTGGCACACCCTTGGGCAGTCACTTCAAACTCAGCAAGAATCAGTCATCCAAGTCAGAGGAGGAACGATACCCCACATGAGTAAGGTTTCTTATGTTTCAGCAATTAGTTCATATATGTATGTTATGGCTTGCACTAGACCGGATATTGTTCATACAGTGAGAGTTGTTAGCTGACACATGAGTAATCTAGGAAATGAAAATTGGGAAGTAGTAAAGTGGATCTTGAGGTATCTAAGAGGCTCTTCAAGAACTTGTTTGTATTTCTCAGGAAAGAGTTCAGAGGTACAATATTATGTTAATACTGATCTAGCTGGAGACATTGATACCATAAGAAGTACTACATGCTATATTTACACTCTTGATGGCACTGCAGTTTCATGGAGCTCTAATCTGTAGAAGACAATTTCATTGTATACTACAGAAGCTGAGTATATATCAATGTCAGAGGATGCAAAAGAGATGATATGAATACAGGGTTTCTTGGAGGAATTTGACAAGAAGAATCAGAAGGGCATTCTTTACAGCGATAGTCAAAACATCATATTTCTTGCTAGGAATCTAACATTTCAGTCCATGACCAAGCACATTCAGATCAGGTATCACTTCATTTGGACATTGTTGGATGACAGACAATTATTGCTTGAGAAAATTTGTGGAAGAAAGAACATTGTTGATATGTTGACTAAGGGTGTTACTCTTGAGAAACTGAAGTTGTGCGCAATTTTAGTTGATTTTCTAGCTTGAAGTCAGGGGACTTTGAGTTACAGGGAAGGAGGATATCACGTTTGAAGAAAAGACGACGTCATCAATAAAGGATAACAGTTTGAGGAAGATAACGATGTTGCTAGCGTATCAGTCTCCAAGTGAGAGATTTATTAAGCGGAGACAGGTCCTGAAAAATAAAAAAAGAGACAAATAACCACTCCCGCCTTCCTCATTCCGCAAAGATCCCACTCGGTGTGGTTTCGCGAATTAGGCTTCTCGCTTCAATTGCATCTCCTTCTCTCGCGACAGGAGAGCGAGGCATTGTGAGTTTCGCGGAATTGCAAGGCTGTGGCTGGAATTGAAAACGCAAAGCTCTCTGCTCCTTGTTCTGGCTTCTTTGGCGTGAGGTTTATACAGGTAGGCGATAGGAGGATCACAAGGCTGCTCCTTGTTTCTCCTCTTTTTGGTGGTGGCTCTCGGGTATAGAGAGAGAAGGGGAAGTGAGAGACTTTCTCTCTTAATCGTCGAGGCCATCGACGGTGTAAATTCCTCAAGTAATAAAGTTCTCTGCAACTCTGTGGACGTAGGCAATTTGCCGAACCACATAAATCTGTGTTCCGCTGTGTTTTTTGGTTTTACAAATTTCTAAATCTATTTTTCGCTTCGTCGTCGATCATTTTATTTTATATATATACCACAACATTGATTGGCATCTGACCCTTGTCTCGGCAGCTGCATTGTTAGGGTTTGGGATTTGGGTATGTGGAAGATGATATATATGAATGATTTGAGTGGAAAAGGTGAAATGTTTTTCCGGAAGAGGGGGGTGAGATAGGTTTGGGTATGACATATGCTAGAAACTCTACAACATCATTAAAGTTAGGTTAATTATGATACCATATGATACCGAAGTTAACCCAAACCACGATAGAAAAGACAAATATGCTTAAAGAAAGCAAATAGTAACTTACCATCAACACACTTGAAATGAGAAATAGAAAAACAACACAAACAATTACAATTATAGTGTATCTCAAGGATAGTGGTGGTGGTCGGCGAGGGTTTGGAAGATGGCGTTGGGGTGAAAAAGGCGGTTTGCAAGCAGAAAACAAGACACCTGTTTACCCGGTGTCGGACAAAAAGTAAACAGTAGGGAGTGATGTGGGAAAGCAACCAAGATGTTAGTGATAGGATCCGACGCAGAAATCAACATGATTTTTTAGGGCAAACCAATATTTTTTTTTCCAATAACGTCAAATTAAAATTCCACAACACTATTCACTTACACAAATACACAATAAATAAGCACCTACAATTCGAGAGGTTGGAAATATCTCCCAAACCCTAAACTTAATACTCATAATAATAATCTTATGCATACTCTCAATCCTAAGCCTTCAAGGGTCTATTTATAACAAACAGTAATAAATAATAAAATAATCAAATGCCCTTATATGCATAAAAGATAAAATTGTCCTTAGGTTAGGCAGCAGAAGATATAACTTTGCTATTCTTGAACAAATAATCATTAGAAAGTAGAGATTGCCTTGCATGAGCTCAGAGATTGTCAGAAATAGGAAAGTTTGAACAATTCACTTGTTTGGAGGTTCGTGTAAGTCCTGACTCACGGTTGTGACCCATATTTTTATATAGGAATGAATTTTTGGACATACTTCTCAATAAAAACAAACGAGGATATTTGAGCGATTACATATTTTATGAGGCATAAAAATTTTACTCTCTTTCTATGTATTGGGACTTTTATTTATTGTAAACTTCAAATTACTTGCACTTGGGACACGTACATTTTTGTCATGCATTTAAACATGCAGAGTTTTTTCATTTTGTGGGAAATCTTTTTCATATATTTTTAATTTAATAATACAGTCTTTGTGCAGGCTAAGGAACAAACTCGCACATCTTGCAGACCAATATTCTCTTTCTGAGGAACAGTTCGCACAAAAGGTCTTCATGGTTTTATTTCAGAATGAAGCTTTGCAGATCCTTTGGATTCTTTGATTTAAGTACCTTTAGGCTGACTTCTCTTCTTTTTGTGGAAACATTTAGCTGAAACAGAAATCACTTGAACTTCAGATTGTTGACCTAAAGATGCAACAACAGCAAGAGCGATCGGCTCAGGAACAATCCCAGATGCATTCGTATGTTGAACAGGTAACCCAATTATTGGAAACTGAAAAGAATTTAAGATTACAGCTAGCTGCTGATGGAGAAAAATTTCAGCAATTTCAGGTGCCTCTTTTTCTTAAACTCTTACATTGTCAATAAATCATAACTGGATTACTGTGTTCAATTCAAAATGCTGTTTATTACAACTGTCAGCGTGCATTATGCATATTTTGAAGTGATAATCATGTCGAATGACGTTCCATTGTGGCATCAATGAATGACGTTCCGTTGTGGCATCAGTGAATTTGTTGCCATCTCAATAGCAGTTTCAATTAGCTGGCTCTATTTAGGTTATTATAGCTATAGTTTTACAAACAACTTTGCATTTAATACAAGGTATATTCTCTTTGATTTTGCAATCGATGATATCAAAATAACAAGTTAACTCAAAATAAGAAGTTAGTGTGATGTGGGACGCGGTCCTGCCCATGGATGTGAACTCCCGTGTTTGCAGTTCCGCTTAATTGTGGGACATCCCGTGATCCTTTCCGCCTGGGATACACCCCAGATTTTAATTTCAGCAAAATTCCTTACCTTTTAGGTTTCTTTTTCTTTTTCTCTATTTCTAGTTAGATTAATTTCTATTAGGAAGCTGTTATATATAGGTGTATTTTTGTTATTTTGAAATATTAGCTTGGTTTTATTTATTTGGAGAGTTTATTATCTGATTTTCTGCTCTCTGTAGTGATGTATCGTCTTCCTATTCCAAATGGTGTGTCTGTAGCTTGCTCAGGAATAAGTGGCAAATCCTCCTGGCCGCTTGTACTTCGCTGATTCACCATTCAACCACTGTTTTTAGACTAGACAGCTGCTAAATGTGTTGAATCTGTTGTCAAGCAATAAATTTTGCCTCATACTCCTTCCAACATCGTTGATACCCTATATTTCCACTGTCTTGTTATTTCACAGCCACCTCTTTGTTACATCCGCTTCCTAAATATTTTCTAGGAGCCCTAGAACAATATATTTTGGTATATGAGTATGAGAATTTTTAAAATTTTCCTTTGCCTCCAAACCAAATTTTCACACAACCTAACCTAATAAGAAAAAAAATTCCCACATCATCCACCCATCCTTAAGTGTAAATCACCCGTTTCTTTTAGCCAAAATTTCAGTTGGAAGAACGAGAGGTCATGCTGCCAAAGAGAAACCCTCAACGAGGTACTCATGATATCATTATGGAGGACATGCAACGAAGAATCCTCCAATTGCTACGGAGGCTTGTTGATTTTGAAAGAAGGCAGTATGGGGAAGTCACCCACAGTATTAAGGATTAACAATGACCTTCCAAATGAAGAAGATGACAAAACCTTTTCTACTAGGAAGCATTGAGCGATGAAGAGTTGATCTCGTGTCGATTCATCATTGAGTAGATGAGGAGAGAGTGATTTTAGAGTGAATGTGGATTGTTGGATTTTAATGGCATTATGGATCCGAATGAGTTCATTGAGTGATTACATACAGTGGAATGGATCATTTGAATATAAGGATATTCCACCTGACAAAAGGGTAACATTAACCGTTATGAAGTTAAAGAAGAGTGTGACTCTATAGTAAAATAATTTAAAACATTTACACATTTATAAGAGAAGAAACAAAATCACTCCATGGTCCAAGATGAAAAGGGAGATGCGACGCAAGTACCTATCAACACGTTACAAACATGACTTATTCTTGAGATTTAAACACTTACAACAACAAGATCTCTAAGTAGAGTACACCGTTGAGTTTGAGAAGCTTATGTTGAAGCATGAGCTATGGAGCTCGAGGAGAACGCAATACCTCGTTATATGAAAGGATTGAGATCGTTCAATTGAAACATAATACAATTAATCCTATTGGACGTTACATGATGTAACATGAAGTTTGAGAGACAACACAACATTATCAGATATGCATATCTAAATAGGGTCCAAATATCAGATATTTGAACCCTATTTAAATAGAACATTATCAAATATGCCTATTTAAATAGGTTCCAAATATCAGATCGGGCTACAAGAGTACACCCAGTGGAGTATCAAAGCCGACCCCACATGGAAAGAAACCATTTTAGAGTGGATAAAAGATGGGGACCGCTAGCACTTCTATATCATTCACTATTAGGAAATGCTTTAAGTGCTACAGTTTTGGTCGCATTGCTTTTGATTGCCCAAACAAGAGGGTTATCTCATTCAGTGAGCCAGGAGCAATTAAAGAAATGTACATTAACATATGATATAATGATTACATCAGAGGGAGTGTCAGTTTTCAGCTGACGAGAGAGAAATGCTAGCGATTCAATGGGTCTTTTAAGAGGAGCCCTTTTGAAAGACTCTAGCTGGACTAACATTGGTTTCCCTAAAAATTTGTGACTCTGAGGAGTCAATATCAAAACTTATTGAGGGAGTTGTTGTATATCCTGATTGATAGTTTACCTCCTAGATGATTGTCACTGAGAGTAATCCAATATTAAGTATGTCATATGTTTCATTCTAGGGTCAGTTTCTTTAGATAGGCTTGTTTATTGCTTAGCCGAGTACAAGAAGTGGGAGAAGCAAGTTTCATATTTAATGGCTCTATATTTGGTTTGTGAGAATTCCCATCTATATGCAATTCCAGCTCTGATTGTGACAAAAAAAATATGGTTATTTGTTCTATCAGGACATACTTTTGAATTCCAGCTCTGATTGTGACAAAAAAAATATGGTTATTTATTCTATCAGGACATACTTTTGAATGGCGTATGTGTTTTAGAGTTGTTTGGATGACTTGTGCATAGTTTTTATGGTGGAGTTTCCTCAAACACAACAAGACTCTCTTTGTTATGATTTTGGTAAATCAATTCAAAAAGCTTCCTAGGCTGAAGACAAAGCTCCTCCCACCGGAGAGAGTGATGTGGGATAAAATCCTTCCTGCAGATGTGAACTCTCGTGTTTCTGTGGTTCCTCATGGTTGCAAAAGATCCCGTGATGGTGGGATGCATTTTCGCCCGATATACTCGCACATTACTCGCCACATTTTAATTTTACCAAAATTTCTTGCCTTTTCTATTTTTTTCCTATTTCCCTATTTCTAATTAGATTAATTTCTATTAGGAAACTTTTATATATGTGGTATTTTGGTTGTTTTGAAACATTGGCTTGGTCTTATGTATTTTGAGAGTTTTTTCTTTGATTTTCTATTCTCGGGAGTATTGTATCCTCTTCCTGTTACAAGTTGTGTTTGTAGCTTGGTCAATCCTCTTTGCTGCGTGTACTTCATCATTTCACATTCGATCATTGTTATCAGTCCATATAGCCCCCGAATGCGCTGAATTTGTTGTCCAACAACATATTTCATCTCATTCCTCATTCCAACGTTGTCGATACCCCATATTTCCACTTCCTTGCATTCCACAACTACCTCCCCACTATATCCATTTCTGAAACACCTTCTATGAACCATAGAACAGTATCGTAGCGGGAAGATTATTAAAATGTGCAATTCCATAGATAATCTAAAGCTATATCAACTTCATAACTATATCATGATTGATAGCATGCAGAACTTGTGATTTTTTAATTTGTGAAATTGAAGTATTTAATTGTTTAATTCCTAGAAATACTTGGTCAACTTACAATTTAGTCATAGTATTCCTGTTTAGTAAACCTGAGTTAGCTTTTTGGTGTGACAAAGGTACAGGATCTCGTGCTTCTAATTTGGGCGCTTTATCAAGGTTTGGAATTGGCTATTTTTAGAACTAGGTGCACCTTGGCTTGCAGTTATTTGTTGCTAATGTGATTTTGAGGTTGAAAACTTGCAGTTTTAAGTTAGAATCTACTATTTTTGAGAAAACTATCAATTTTGGGTTTTTGCTTTATTACAAATATGACCTTGGAGGCATTTAAAACTTCAATCCTTTCAAAATTGTGTGCTATTGGATTTGAATTTTTATGGTATTGTAAATGTTGATGATAACAGTCAAAGGAAGCGTTCTTCTTGTGCCGATATGTGGCCTGTATCTTCTTTGGTGATTTTTTTCTTTGTTATTTTCATCCAAATACTTTGTGATTGGAATTTGGTCAGTTTTGCTATTTCTTATTGCAGTGTTGAGTCTTGGCCATCATATGTTTTTATTTCTAGCTCAAGCTCTTACATAATTTTAGTTTTAGATGCTCTTTAAATATCATTTGTATAAAGCTTTATAATTTTTGTAGATTGCATCAAGAGGATGGAGTCTTTTGTCATACTAAGATTTGTTGAACTAACAATTTAATTTTTACGTTATTGCATATCAATGTTAGATTTTCATTTGTGAAATTCTAGAGTTTTAAACATTCAGCATCACAAAGTTACCTTGGACGCTGACCTCTTGGATTTTCCTTGTCCATTGATTATCATAAGAGGCCTTATGTCCCAAACCATGATGAGTATGACCTTGCTCCTCCACGGGTTGCATGTGTCATAGAAATCATTCAGGTTCATCATTATAAATTTACTTTTATGTCTTCATTTTGAGAGTGCTCCATTCTCAAAAGAAAATATAATATCTTGCATCCCATGCATTAACTTCTAATTTGCCTCATTTGTGTAGATTTGTGCTCGTAAATCAATTTTATATTTTCTTAGAAGAGTTCAAGGAAATCAAATCTTAATGCTGCATATAGCAAAAAACAGATTGAAATGTTTTTCCAATAGGTCGTTGAAAAGAGTTGTGAGGAAAAAAATATATATGGAGGAGCTAAATGAATATGATTATCAAGTTTTTATAAATTTATCCAAAGTTTTGAAAGATGATTTGGCTCTGAAAAAAAAAAGGTTTGAAATAGTGTTTTGTCACCACATTAGATATTTATTCAGATATAGAGAGTTATGAGATTCATGAGTAATATATTAACGAAGCTTTTTGCTAGAATTCTGATGACTACGAAGATGTTGAACCAACAGAAATATTTCAATACCATTATTTAAAAATAAAAGAGATTTTCAGAATTACAGTATTTTATAAGAATCAAGCATAGCAATAGCAACCATATAATAAAGTTATGGGGGACAATTTTTGCCATCTGAATTCTCATATTTTGAGATATTGTTTGTTTGGG